AGTTTCTTCTATTGCTTTCCTCCGTCTTCTTTTCTTGAAAACTATTTTCAGTCTACGTATACATGTCTTTTGATGATGGCCCACACGTTTTCTTTCCTTTTTAGTGTCTACTCGAAGTAAAGCGTTACATTAAAAGGTAGTTTATGCAGATAGGAGGGGAAGATAACGGTTAACTCTCGACTTGAACAGGGTACGATTTTAGTCACCGGGGAAACATCCTCTTGTGATGAACAAGAATAATTTAAGTATGTCGATAGCTGAATAAAAAACACATCTCTAATATTGATGTTGCTGATAGCGAATTAAAATTCGTTAATCAAAATATTGGCAAGGCACAAGTACATATATGAAAGGGTGTTGAAATCTGAGCAAATAGCAATTTATTTATTATTTTTTTTCGGGACACTAGCAGCTTGAGTTTAGGGGTATGGGCGGTGTAATGGAAAAGGGCTCAGGATGAGAAATCGTATAACTGAGTTCGAAATCCACTCGAGTTCACTTACGCGCAAATAACATTGGGAAAGGTATGAATCCATCTCTTCTCCCCCATCTATGAGTTAAATATTAAGACATGGATCTGAAGATCATTATTATCGACAAAAATTGTTAATACAATATTCAGCAGCAAAAAAAAATGTACTTACAATCCCTCAAAATATGTTTCGACTTTAAATAACCTCCTAAAGGTTGATAAGCCGTAAGAAAAAAAATCCGTTAATCAATAAATTCAGAGCTTCCCATACACAAAATCTGGCAGCACTTACAATTCTCTCTCAACTTTGGTGCTTGTGGAGAGAACGTTGAACAGCTTTATGTATATTCAAATCATTGTTCAACCAATTCTGTTGTCATTCCTCCAATAGGAAAGTAAATTGCTATTTAAGCAAGATGATACCTGCTCACATAGTGCTCCTACTACTCAACATGATCTGTCAGAGGGTCAATAGCATCCCTAGATGATATGATGCCATAGGTAATGATGGCACTATGCTTGACTAGTTTAATTAACCCATCTAGATTTATTCCCATATTGCGTCAACAGATGCATGTGGCGTGTAATCATATATTTCAGGATGTTTGGGCGCCTCGAGGCGGTGTAATGGTTAGCAAGCTTCTCTCGCTAGAACAATTATGACTGAGTAGTGAGTTCGATCCTCACTGGGTGCCCCTTACTTTCGGCCTTGTGCTATATAAAAGAAACGCTTACAAAATCATTTCGTCACCTCGTGGCTGTGTAAATGTTAGCAAACTTGCCTCGCTAGAACAATTACGACTGACTCGTGAGTTCGACTCAAACTGGGTGCCCCATACTTGCAGCCTTATGCCACATCAAAGCTGCGCTTGGAAAATCACTATATTTCAGGATGATATTCCTCATTTGTAGTATCATATGAAAGCAAGGGCTATTTTTATTTTATGCGCCATCTTCGATCAGGGCACTCCACAACTTCCTAGCCTTTGTATCCCTAATCAGCATCTGCCCTTACTATCCCCCCATACCTGTTCTGCCATCCATTTACACAAGCTTCTAAGGTAGGTTACTCGATGTTTCCCTCTGCCTCACTGGCTTTCTATACTTCTTGTGAGTGCCAATTTCTCAGGCCTTCTTTCCGTGTTATGCCCCCTCCCCAGTTTTAACTGCCTCTTTCTGAGTACCCTTTTGATTCCATTTTAATTAAACCTTCCTCGTTACTCATATGTTTACTCCACTGTATTCTCAGTATCCTTCTGTAGAACCAAATCTTTGTCGCCTCATGTCTCCTTTTCATCGGTGAGGAAATTATCCAGTATTCATTCCCATATAGGAAGATTGATATTGCAGAGCAGTTCAGAAACCTTTTTTTATAATGAAGTTTTCCCGGTTCTTAATACTTGGCTTGGTTTTTTGAAAGCATCTTTCGATATTCCAAAGTAGTTTCGAATTTTGCTGTCACATTTTCCACGTATTTGAATTTCTGTTTGATTTTTTTGGTTGGGTGATTTTGTTTAGCGGCATATCAACACCACTATGTATTATTTAATGCAGAAATGTAAATATTTTGAACACAATTTTACCGCTTTAAGTAAATACATTTTGAACGCAATTTCATGGCTTCAACTACAGATAAAGTGTATTGTTAGTCATTTTGCTATAAAATGTATTGTTAGTATTTCTAGTATAAAATTTATTATTGTTGATTTTGCTTTAAAATTGTATTGTTGCTAATTTTACTACAAATATGTGTTGTTGCTAATTTTACTTTATGAAATGTAATTTTATGCTTTTATAGTATTTTGTTTTTGTTTGGGGTTTCACATTTTACCTGTAGCTAGGACCCGAAAAGGTGCTACCACTCCTAGTCAGGGTGGAACTGGGAACAATGACAATTATAAGGTGGTTCCACGCTCCTCAAAACCTGCAATTTCCCGATGAAAAGCTTTACTGCAGGATGTAATTTATCATCATACCCAGGAACCTCCAATTCGTTGTTCGCATCGTCGACTGTTGATAATGACCATTCATTGTCATCTTACAATTGATCGTTTGGCCTTTTTTCTCGCTTTCTTTTTCTACCTTGACTCGAAGTTTCTGCACTTTCTGCGTTTTCTTTCCGTGTCTGCTATTAACAAAATGTCATCGGCATATCTTATGTTGTTAAAATTATGTCTGCCAATAATAAATCCTAGTAGGTCTTCTAGAATCGCATCGCTGAAAAGGTTAAATAAATCCGGCGAGAAAAGGCTAGTTTTTTTTCTATTTTAGGGCATATTTCTTACGCTATTATTTACTCATGGCCGAGTGGTTAGAATGTTCGCTTTCTGATCTGTACTGTACTGTACTGATGCGGCTTCTTCTTGTTATGAGAAGAAGATTCTTGGGATAAATTACAGAAGTAGGGTACCCAGGCCTACTCGGATAACGTTCTTGCTTGCCGCGGGATTCCCACAGACGCAGAGACAGGAACGACCAGAAGCCGCCGGTTACCGATGCAGACGCTCCTTGGATTTTCACCGGAGCCCTTGTTAGCCTGCGTGTGTGTCAGACCTGTCCGCCTTGGGTGGCCCTACCAGGAACGAAATTCCGGGCGGCATAGGTCTGACACTACCGTTTACACCCCCCGCCGACTGTGAGGTAAGGGTTGGACTGTGGGGGCTTACAGTACCAGGTGTTCCCAAGCGGTCCCCCATCTAAGTACTGACCTGGCTCTACGATGCTTAACTTCGGTGATCGTACGAGAACCGGTGTTTCAGCGTGATTTGACGGTTTCGCTTTCTGATCATGAGACCCGAGTTCGAATCTCACCATGGTCGATTTGTCAGGAAAGTAATTGAAAGCCACTTGGCTTGACCCGACACTTGTGATGTGAAATTGGGTTGACGTAACCCTTGGGGGCCGTCGATGGCTGTGCAGTACCAAATCATCGAGACCAAAGGTTTGAGCGCGCTGACCCTGTTCAGATTGTTGATTATTCTAGATAACACGCTTCTTTCCCAGAAACTGTAACTAAGTTCTGCTCAGCATAGTTGCGGCATAAGCCACATGTTGGCTTTGTGGGTGTTGAACAAGCATAACATTTGAGCAAGCGTCTGCAATAGGGATTAGCTAGGTGCCCTAGAAGACGGGTATCCTTGTATACGAGAGGCCAGCCATAAACGTTAATTAATTCACTCAATACAAAGGCCCAAAGCCACTGAAGACTCAAGGAGACTACTGAATAGAATTGTCTTAGGAAACGTATGACTTGTAGGATAGATAACGGTTGACCTTAGACTTGAAGAAGGTACTGTTATAGTGGTCGAGGAAGCAACTTCCCATGAGTCTGTTCCACAAAGCGGTGGTTTGTTGGAAGAAGTTGTCCCAATGGAATTTCATTCTTACCAATGGAATGTAAGGGAATGCGAATGGTTCACTCCTGTGTAAATGGCGTGGTGTGCCTTCGCTGGTGGAACTGGGGAATGAATCTTTTCAGACTAGCGAGGAGCGATAGGCTTGTAATACTGTGACTGTGGGAAAAGAGGTTGTAGGGTGCCAAATAATTCCTCATCTACAAGGCCACATAAAAGTATACAGTGTAACCCGGATATAAGAGAGTTGTCGGGACCGGAGAAGAAGTCTCTTATATCCGGGTTTCTCTTATATCCGGGTTTGGTCTATTTTATATACATTAACACAGGCTCTAATTTGGGACCAGAGAAAATCTTTCTTATATCCGGGTTTCTCTTATATCCGGGTCTCTTATATCCGGGTTACACTGTATAATTCTGTCGAGGCTGGAAAGAAATAATTTGGCAACTCCAGCCCAGATTTGGCAGTAATACTCGACTTTAATCTGAACTGACTCTTCTAAAGATAGAGCATGTCAACTGGAGTCAGATTCTTAGCGTTATACGAAGAACGTCTTTAGCAATGGATCTCGAGCCGTTGTAAGCAGGGAGTCTTTAACAATGGATCGTATGTTTCACTTTTTATCTGGAGTGAACTTGCATGTTGCGGTGTTCGAATATTGATGTTCGACGAATCCCAAAAACATTAAGATTAAAGAAGTGACCCAAGCCAAGGCAAGGATGATGAGAACAAGGAGTTTAGATAAAATATGCCAAAATGTATTATTGGCAGAAAAAAATAATGAAAATACAGCCGAAGAATCCGGATGTTTCAAATACCCTGGGTGGCCGGGTGGTAGTTGACTGTTGGTCTTAGATGTGTCGACAATTGATGATGACAGGAGTAGCTTGAGCGGTGTTTGATAGACAGTGGGTGTATTGTGTTGGTACTAGCTGGTAGTCGTAGCCCAGGGCAGACAGTTGTTAGTAACCAGAAGATGAAGATGAAACCGCTTGGGAGTTGTAGAAGGACGATAGGCAGTCAGCGAAGGATGACAATCGATGTGTTGAGTTGGCATTAGCAGGCAGTCTTAGCCGAGAGTAGGCGGTTGAAACCACGGTGTTCCGCGAGATGATGGGCAGCAGGGCGGGAAACCTGAATCGCCGAGTGGATTGATAGAAGACGCGGTCGGCGGGAGTCAGTTGTTCGCTGCAGTAATCGCTGCTGTTCGTCGCTGGTCCCGATACAACCCATCTTCATCTCCTTCCATCCTTCCTTCGGGAGTGGCTAGTCGTTCCTGGTTTTATGGCGTAGACTTTTGACGCTACTTTCAGTTATAATGAAAATAATAAAATTAGTCTACGTTATGAAATATAACGTAGTTGTTCATCATAAAACTATGAACAAAAAAGGAATAGTATTGGTTTTGGATAACCAGCTTAAAATGTCTCCGAAACAATGTACAGCTTAACCTTGAACAGTATGTTCAACTTTATTATACCAGCAATACGTTTATATACATAACATTACATTCTTATATAGTAAAATGGCCATTTTTATATAGTAAAATGGCCAACAATACATATTTATATTAAAATTACCAACAATGCATTTTATATAGTAAAATGACCAACTATACAAATTTATAGTAAAATTATCAACCATATATTTTTATATAATAATATTACCAACACTACATATTTATAGTAAAATTACCAGCAATACATTTTTATATAGTAAAATGACCAACTATACAAATTTATAGTAAAATTACCAACAATACATTTTTATATAATAAAATTACCAACACTACATATTTATAGTAAAATTACCAACAATAGATTTTTATATAGTAATATTACCAACAATACATATTTATATTAAAATTACCATCAATACATTTTATAGCAAAATGATGAACATGACATCTTATCTGTGGTTGAAGTCATATAATTATGTTCAATATATACTTAACTGAAGCGTTAAAATTGTGTTCAAAATATTTAGATTTCGGCATTGAATGAGCCATAGGGTTTGAGGTACCGCTAAACATTATCAACCAATAAGCCAACCAAAAAACCAACATGAAAGAACTCTTTCATGACATTAATCCCTATGATATTCTACAATTTATTAAAGAAATCAAACTGTATTCCAAAATATCCAGGAAAACTACAATATAAAACACACATATCACGGCCTCTAGTAATAACGTCCACACAAATATGTATATGCACAAAAGCTGAGTATCATCTACCATGTATTCAATTGAGAAAGCAGAATAACATATATCATATATTTATAACTTCGGCATTAAATGACCCATAAGGAGTTGATATGCCATTAAACAAACAAATAAATCAATCATATAGAGTTTTTTTGTATTTTTCATAATCCGTTAGTACATTTATCTGTATGAATTTGATTATATTTTTACCTTGCGGAGGATCGAAACTTTTGAGGAATTTGCGCAGTAGAGATTTATTATGAAATGCTCCTCCAATATATCAACTAGAGATCTTTTTGATCTTGAGGGCGACCTTTCTTTCCCCAGTTAAGGAAACTGTTCTTGTACAGTTGATAGCTCCGGGCCTTTTTTATACTCATGATTTATATGATTCAGAAATTATTAATTAACTTTGTAATTCCACAAGCCAAACATTATAAATAAATTAAGACTTTGCCATCAATTCAAATTACGTGCATATGTCATGAACAACCTTGTGCGCATGCTCGGCGCAGCAATGTTGGCTGCGTGATTGACAAACCACTTATAGGCATGCGCAGTGGTCTTAACATTGATGTTTATTATGGCTGACATACTTTGCTGAACAAAGATGCCACTCATTAAGCGTTAATATTTGAAGATGAATCAAGGGTTTCAAGAATAGGAATCTTTCTCTTGTTGAATTTTTTTGTATGCTTTTTATAATTTTCAACAGAGGCGTATGTTTTAAGTTATTCACAGTGGCATTTATTTTCGAAAAGACTGATTTTCTTCGTTTCTTTTTCTTCCATAAAACTGTTTCATTCTTTATTAAGAATCTTAGAAAAATTAACTCGTTTATGGCTGGTTGTGCCCTTAAAAAAGATAGTAATCATTTTTGAACGCTTTCCCCTGTAAAATTTATAATTCATCTCTTACTGTGGCGTTTGAAGATGCGATAATGTTAAATTGTTATCATGAAAATTATAATCCTACTAGCTGAACCCCTGCATATTCCACTAGTTTTTGCAACTAAGATTGTCCATTATCACATGTGTGTCATCTTCTCACCCAATTGGTTGCATCTTCTCATTCTTCTCTTTATCCTTTCAGATATTCTTTACCCTTTTCTAAAATATTGCGTCCTGGGTATGACGATAAGCTACATCCGCGTCTAAGGTAAGACGATTAACTACATCCGTGTCCAGATTAAGACGATAAACTAAATCCGCGTCCTGGATATGAGGATAAACTACATCCGCGTCCAGGGTAAGACGATAAACAACGTCTGCATCCAGGGTATGACGATAAACTACATCTGCGTCCAGGGTATGACAATAAACTACATCCGCGTATAGAGTGAGACGATAAACTAAAATCGCGTCCGGGGTATGACGATAAACTACATCCGCGTTCTGGGTAAGACGATAAACTACGTCCGCGTCCAGGGTATGACGATAAACTACGTCCGAGTCCAGAGTAAGACGATGAAATACATCCGCGTCCTGGGTATGACGATAAACTACACCCGTGTCCAGGGTAAGACGATAAACTACGTCCGCGTCCAGGGTATGTCGATAAACTACATCCGCGTCCAGAGTAAGACGATAAACTAAATCCGCGTCCTGGGTTTGACGATAAACTACATCCGCGTCCTGGGTAAGACGATAAACTACATCCGCGTCCAGGGTAAGACGATAAACTACATCCGCATCCTAGGTATGACGATAAACTATATCCGCGTCTAGGGTATGACGATAAACTAAATCCGCATCCTAGGTATGACGATAAACTAGATCCGCGTCCAGGGTAAGACGATAAACTACGTCCGCGTCCAGGGTATGTCGATAAACTACATCCGCGTCCAGAGTAAGACGATAAACTAAATCCGCGTCCTGGGTTTGACGATAAACTACATCCGCGTCCTTGGTAAGACGATAAACTACATCCGCGTTCTGGGTATGACGATAAAATACGTCCGCGTCCAAGGTAAGACGATAGACTACGTCCAACAGCAAGGCCTCTGATCTGAAGGCTTCAAGGTGCGTGGAACGATCTCTTAATTGCTGATGTCCCCATGTCCGCCCTGACCTGGGGTGATAGTACCTGTTAGGGTCCCAGCTGTAGGCAAATAGTTAACCCAGAAACTGAGGTAAAAGGCATTATAAAAGTGTAAATGTAGGTTTTAATAACAGAAATACTTTGTAAAAATTATTACCAGAAATAAATTTTTGAAGAAAAGAAATATTGCCAGCAATATGTTCTCGAAAAAAACTATTACCAGCTATACGTTTTTGAAAAAAATAATATTACCAGCTATACATTTTTGAGGAAAAAAATATTAACAGAAATAGATTTTTGGCAAAACAAATATATTACTAGAAAAAAAAAGTTGTCGGCATCAAATGACCCATTGAGGTTGATATACCGTAAAACAAAACAAACCAAACCAATTTCTAAAATATTACAAAAGATATAGATTTGTTTGGTTCGTGAAAATAAAATAATTGAAATGTTATCGTTGTAAAAGCTAAAAAGAACACGTGACTGAGTCTCTCATTTGTGAAATTATTGTTCATTGAACTTCAGACTTTATCAGTAGGTGTGTGCTTTGGGGGAATTTCTCCGATCGTGGATACTTCTCACAAGAATGTAAGGGGACGCTCTTATACATGTTATCCTTTTTATCCAACGTGTGCATAATCTTATCGTAGCTGGATCCATTACCGGTTTATATATCAGGGTTAGCCACTGATATTCTGTGAGTATTTATATCTAGGGGCTAGGAGGTCATTTTTCAGTTAACAGCAGGTTACTCGGACATTTGCCCGATGGACATTTAACCGAATGGAAATTTAGCCGAAAATGTAATGGCGTACTTACATGTATGTCACACTCTTTATTGTAACGTGGTACATATATTTATATTTATTTACTGTATTAATTTATAATTTTTCGTTTTTTATTTTTTTGGCAAGGTTTTTAAAAATCTATTATGTATATATTATATTACACTTCAAATATTACTGTAAGATGATAAGTATTTTGAGAAAAAGCACATTTTACTACAACAAAAATCTTAAGTTTTTACGATATGAAAGATCTTTCAATTTCGCTTAAAGTATTGCTTACGGTCAAATCACGCTGAAACACCGGTTCTCGTACGATCACCGAAGTTAAGCATCGTAGAGCCAGGTCAGTACTTAGATGGGGGACCGCTTGGGAACACCTGGTACTGTAAGCCCCCAAAGTCCAACCCTTACCTCACAGTCGGTGGTGGGGTGTAAACGGTAGTGCCAGAGCTATGCCGCCCGGAACTTCGTTCCTGGTAGGGCCACCCAAGGCGGACAGGTCTGACACACACGCCGGCTAACAAGAGCTCTGGTGAAAATCCAAGGAGCGTCTGCATCGGTAACCGGCGGCTTCTGGTCGTTTCTGCGTCTGTGGGAACCCCGCGGCAAGCAAGAACGTTATCCGAGAAGGCCTGGGTACCCTACTTCTGTAATTTATCCCAAGAATCTTCTTCTCATAACAGGAAGAAGTCGGCTCAATCCGCTCAGGGTGAATGCCGCATCAGTACAGTACAGTAGTATTGCTTGGTACTATTTTTACTTGTCTCTCGGCCACGTATTGCATCTGCAATAACAATAATCAAAAATAATATTAAATTCTTATATTTAACACACAAGCACTACATTCTGTCGTAAGTTAAATTGTCACTTATTGAAACTCAATGAAATTTGTTCGCATGCCGACCATCATAGCACAAACAAAGCAAGATAAGAGTAAGTTTTCTGTTCCCTCTTTCTTCACTCATTCTCAAGTGTTAACGTCTTCAGCACATAAATATCTACTTTGACTCAACTGGAGTAACTTTGCCTGACATTCCACTTGGAATTGAAGTTCTTTTGAGTGATATGCATATAAGGTTTTCCATGGTTTCTGTTATCATTTCTAATATGGATTCCCACAAAATATTTGGATCTGATAATAACCCTGCAATAGTCCTTAATAAAGGTGATCCTTTGCTAGATTCTGTTTTCTCTAA